GGCCTACGTCGGACTGCTGCCAACCACCGGCCCCCACCACCCGCCCGCCCGCCCGCCCCCCCCGAAAAGAGTGGAGTTGGTAGCGCGGGAGATGGAGACGTTTCCTCTCCCCATTTTGCCCCTCCCTCTCCGCCCTCATTTACACTCGTGCCACTGTCACTCCAATTTAGGAAAAATTCCTTCTTTATAAGACGTGATGTTGAAGTCTTCCAATTGCTGCTTTTCTTTAAGTCCTACGAGTAATAAGCCGAACCCTGTCCGAGAAAATTAGGTGAGGCTCCACCGGTGTGACAACAAACGTGACCCAGATGTTACTCTAAGTAGGAGACGCTAGGCATGTCGATCGTCGGGTATAAGAAGCTGGGTCGGGCTTGTTGCGTCTTGCCGAGTGATCCGGCGGATGGGAATGCGACGGGGAGCGTTGCTAATGATCCTGGAGCATGCGAGATCTACATAGGACCTATAAAGCTAAACAATTTAGATGCAGTTTTATGTACGTGAGACTCTCCTCAAATACTTGCTCTCTATTAAGATTAGGGGTGATCGGTTCGTGGGCAGTCCGATTCCCACCTAGGAATTGGGAACCAAGCCGAAGAGATCGATTCCGAGTTTTCGAAACTGGAAACCGGATTGGTGCTCTCTGGAATTGGATCATAACTGGTGCCCTCTGGAATTGAATCGGATTGCACCGACCAATTCGATCTAGTTCCTAAGTATACCAATGGAACCACTGGTATATTCAATTTTTTTTTATTTGTCGTTAATGTTCAAGATGAAATTGAAGATGTTTGTCATAATTAAGGCATTTTTACAATTAATGAGTTACATGTAATATTGTAAGTTTCACATATATTTTTTTTCTAATTTGTAGCAAAGTTTGGTTGGAATCAGCAATTGAAGTTGTGTTTTGATTTGTTATAGTCATCTTATTCACGTGCATCAGTAAACATAGTCGCTCCAACCTTAAGGGGTCTTCCTTTGTGAAATAGTATATAGATTAGGGTTTTTTTTACAGATTTTTAAAATAAAAAAAAAATCAGTCCAATCCGAATGGGCGGTTTCACGTAAGGAACCGAGAACCAAACTGAAATTTACAAGTTCCAATTTTATGGAACCGGAAAACAGACCGGTGTCTCCGGAAATCGCCCAAAATCAGCCGGTTCCTTTTTGCTCACCCCTAATTAGGATTTACCATGTCAGTACCCCCACTTACCCTCCAACCGCTTAGATTAATCATGGTTGTTATATGCCCCTCTATCATATGTTTAATATTTTGTACTTCTGTTCTGGTACTTGTATGGCAACTTAAATTCATATTAGGAAATTCCCTTTCTCTCTCTCTCTCTCTCACTATCTTTTTTTTATTGTTTGGAGTGTTGTGGGAGGAATGGGATGGTGCCACTAGAAAAGAGGGTATACCTACCCTTTGGAACAGGTACCATCATTTTAGGAGGGTCATTAAATAATCCCCTACTCCCGAGATTTATGCTTTGTTTGGGAGAGGGGAGGGGGAGAGAGAGAGAAGCAAATCACGGGTGAGTGAAGAAAATCTTGTACTATCCCTCCAATTCACTCTCATTAAAAAATTGAAATTTTCCAAAATTTTCCACTTAAAAAAGTCATGCTTGTGATGTTTAATATGCTTATATGAGGTGAGCCATATTAGGCTTTTTTTTTCCTTCCTCTCATCTTACTTTATATTGGTATGATGTCGGTTTTACGCGAAAAAATGTTCTCTACCTTTCGTGGAATCATACGGTGGCGTAAAATAGGACGGGGAAGCACATCGATGGATATAGTGATTCGTACATTTGGTTTGTGAAGGTGAGTGAAATGGAAATCCCAAAAAATAGATGTTAAATATCGAATATACCTCAAGGAGAAGTGTGAGAGGAAATTCCTTAACACTGCAAAGGCAATTGCGGTTCTCGCCACTAAAATGTCTATTCTCTTTTTAAAGAGTGTACCAAAAATCAAAAGTCGAGAAGATTATCTCGTCCCTTTATTTCATTCTTGACTATTAAATCATTGTAAAATTTGGTACTTATTATGTGACTCTTTAATATACAAATGCCCTTAATGGGCATCTTCCGAAAAGCAACGTGCTTTAATTATGTCATACCGAAGAATTTATGTCGAACGGGTCGAAACCAAAACAAAAAACCCTAAGCTTCCGAAAAGCAATGTGCTTTAATTATGTCATACCGAAGAATTTATGTCGATCGGGTCGAAACCAAAACAAAAAACCCTAAGCTTCCAAAAAGCGAGGGTTTCGGTTACCTTACTAAGCTCAAGTAATTCCTAATGTTCGAGGGTCATATCAAAGCATATAATCTGCTGTAATCATGCAAAGGCAATACGTGGCCATGGGTTATCATGCCCAACTCCTTGTTTCTCAACCATAAAGAGGGAGATTAGATGCACGATACGACATAAGCACGTTCAGAAAAAGAAAAGGGAGGGGGGCCATAAACATGTCAGTGGATACATGTAATCTCCTACCAAACACAGGAAGATGATCCACCAGATCCAGGCATCTCTCTTTAATTATTGAATAATTGAAGGGACACTTTGATTAGTTAAGGGTGGGGATCAAGATCCAGAATGGGGGAGTACGTAAGAGAGGGTCCCGCCACCACCACTAGGGTTTTACTTTCCTTCAATTTCTTGCATGTGATGTTTGGTTGGAGTCGATCCAAGGTAGCGCAGGAGCAATAATGACCCCTTATTGATGGTGAGAGAAAGCAATGCAAATCAACAATATCACCCTTGCTCCACAATTTTCTTAAAGAGAGAGAAAAAAATATCCCATGGAAGCTTCCAAAATCTCTACCTAACACCTTTGAAAAAATTATTTATTTGAGAAATATTCATTTATTTAATACACAGTGAGTGAGATGGTGAAAAAGAGCCAGCCCCTTTTCAATATAGGAAGCCACAAGGACCATCTTATCTTTCGATCTTTTCATCATAGTAGCTACCCACATCCATGTGTCCTTTTTGGATCTTCCACAGCTTCTGAATTATCAACTCCGGACTGACTGACTCAACCTTTTCCCTTTCTTTCCTTGGGCGATATTTTGAAATTCTCATATTTGGTGCCTCTCTCTTAGCTTGCAACTCGGGCATCTGGCTCTAAAATCTTTTTATATATTTTAATTATACCATGTGGTTTGGTAGGCGTATCGCTCTTTATATGCTGCCTTTATGAAGCCATTCAATGATAGGATGAATCAATGGCGATCGGCCCCCCACCAGAGGTATATAACCCCACATATTTAAGTGCCGGTGGTTTGCCATTAATTCGGAAGATGGAGCTGTGACACCTTGACCTTGGAAAATGTGTTTTGTCAAAATATGAAAGATTTGAGATTTTAGGAGTCGAGCATGTGGACTAGCCTTTTTGCTAAGAAAACACAGGTGAAGTTAACGACTGCTCCGTGTAAAGAGTCCATCTTAAACGAGCATGTGTGAAGGTCGAAAGTTTCAAGTTCACTTAGTAAAAAGCAAGCTATTAAAGGGAGCTCGAGCTATCCGTGAACAAGTCAGATCAAAGGAGTAAATGAAGCTGCAGCTCCTAATTCCAGGAGATCGGGTTACCAAGTAAAGATCGGACGTGTATGTGTGGAGTATGTGACCGATATAGGTTAGATTTTGCTGCACTAATAAGTAAAAACAATCTCGTCGTATTTGAGCCCCCTTAAGCTTCCACTTCTTAGTCCATTCTAATTTCTTAATAAAATTTCTCGTTAAAAATAAGATTACGGACTCAATCGCGACAATGCTGTGCTCATTATCTAAGCTTCATATATAAGATAATTCTCTCTCTCTCTCTCTCTACACTAGTAAAATACACACTCATATTATCTAGTAACTCTCCCGGTCGCTGTAAGATCTTATCAATCCCTTCGAAGTGGAGTTTCACGAAGGAGAATCCGATCCAACTTTCTAAGTACATAATATATTTATTCGTTATATTTCGCGCAATTTACATGAAAATGGGAAGAGAAAAAGGATACACAAAAGAAGACAAAGGGGTAGTTGTTCGCAGAGGATAGAACAGACAATAAATGTTTTTGGGTTGGTAGAAATAAGGTACACTTGCACTAAGGACAGTTCACGGTTGATTAGTTCCTTCACGCCTTTTATATATGCGAGTAATGCCCTAAGGTTAATAGCCTCTTTTTTTTGGTGCTTTTATTGTGATGCTATTGATAGGTCACCCACCTCCCCATCCTCTCTTCTTATCTCCTCCTCTCACGGCTTATCCATTTCCTTCATATATCGATATCCCCTCTGTCTAAAGGACAAAAGGCCCTCCAAAAAGATCTGTCGGGGAAAACATTTAATCATGTCGAAATTGGGAGAAAACAAATGTTCTCATGGGCCTTTTTTTTTTTTTGGTCACCATGTATCGAAGGCATAGATATAGAGAGCTTCTTCACTTCATGAAAGATTAATGGATGCTTAAAGGGAAATCGTTTGGTTCTAAGAAGACCATGTCTTTTGTATGAACGATTTCTTGTTCACTGTTTACCAGGATCGGCTTTGAGGATAGAAGAGTTTTCATTCATGTCGCAACTAAAAGGAAATTTTAGTTGATTATAAGCTATGTACCAACACTATCAATAATCGAAGACCGGAGGTGCCAGCAAGGTGTATATCCATGTGCCGCATAATTGACTTCCTAAATAAATTTAAGTCAGCCCATATAAATTTCTCTAATACACATACACATTTTCGTATACACATATATGCATGTGATGGAATTAGAAATGGTATTTTAAAACGTTCTTCCATTTCCAGGCGAACCCTTTCGAAATTCTGGCATATACGAATTGGAAGACCCAAAAATTTCCTGGAAAAAAAAAAATCTATATCGTGTTCTTGACTGCTGAGGCCCTGACCATATCAAAACAAGGATCCCCAAAGCACAATCGAGGACCAAAATCAAGCAAACAAACAAGATCACGATGAAGTACCGGCAATTAATGGCTATCTGTACTAATTGAATTAAGTATATAGAACTATGCGCTAAGATTAATCATTACAAATTAGACCCCCAAAGAGAAGAAAAACAAAAGAGAAACACCGGAGAGATTATAAACTAATAGCAAATCTCTTTCTCATCTCTCTTTGTAAAACTGCTTGAACATCCAAAACCATCCACTTATATAAGTTTCGATTTCATTTCATCTCCAAAGTTCTGAAATCCAAAACGCTCGTCTTCAACCCCAAAAAGTCGTAGCCGCCACGGGCGCTGCTTCCCCCGCTCGCTCCTCTCCTGCAACTGCACTCCTCGCTGTTCTGCGTCCCCAGGCTGCAGGCAAAGCAGTGATTTCTCTCAACCATTCCCGTCGACGCATCAGGCTGATGATGCTGCTGATAAGGAGGGCTTATTCTGAGCTCAAGATTCAAGTCCGGGCACCTTTCTTGAACCGTTGCTGTCGTTGTTGTTGTCGGGTTGTTCTCGTTCTTGTAGCCGAGCACGGTGGAGATGGCGTCGTCTAGCGGTTCTTGTTTTGACGGAGCGGCTGCGAACGAAATGGTGGTTGCGTCTTGCTCGGGCTCGTTCAATGGCCTGTGTGTCGCCGGATCGATCCCTCGGTTCAAGAGCTTCCTTCTTATGTGCGTGTTCCAGTAGTTCTTTATCTCGTTGTCCGTCCTCCCAGGCAATCTCCCAGCAATTAAAGACCACCTGTATGAATATAAAGTAAAACCCATTTGACTTAATCTAACATGAAGGGAAAAATAAAATAACGTTTTGAGAACAATTAGTTAGAGAACACAGATTAGGAGACATGTTGGGTACTCATTCTCCTGAATCTCGTTCTTGTGTTCCTACGGGTAATCGTAGGAACAAATTAGTAGCATGATCATGATATATTAGGTATCGGGCTTGTTTTTGCAATACACTTACTTGTTACCAAGAAGGCCATGGAGCTTGATGATGAGCTCATCCTCTTCCTCGGTGAAGTTGCCGCGTTTGAGGTCAGGCCTCAGGTAATTGATCCACCGGAGGCGGCAGCTCTTGCCGCAACGGAGGAGGCCCGCCGCCTTTGGGAGCGACCGCCAGCAGCCCTCGCCATGGGCCCTGATGTACGCGATGAGCCTCTCATCTTCTTCTTTGGTCCATGCACCTTTGTTTGTGTGAGCCTTCTCACAGCAAGGTGACCTTCCCATGTTTCAGTGTATCAGAGAAACTCGAAAGAAAACAAAAAAGAGAGAATTTTTCCCCAAGTGCTATGAGCTCAAGCTATTCTAGTTGTAACTACTGTTCTTATGTATAGTTGGGTACTTGTACGAGAACTTTGGAAATTTTCTTAGAGAGAGAGAGAGAGAGAGAGAGAGAGGGCATTGTCGGGTATTGTTTTCTTGCTGCCAAACCATTAAAGGCCGGCCCTTGCGAATGCCAAAGGTGTGATTTTATAGCATTTTGACTAGAGAGAGAGAGAGAGAGAGGGGGGTAGGGAGAGTAATATAGCTTCTAGATGTGAGTTGGTGAGACAGGTTAGAGGGAGTGGCTGGTGGCCTCTCTCTTGTGATGATTCTTGCATCATCAAAAGGGAATAAGTTAAAAGAGAGGAAGGCAAAAACTTTTACCAATTATATATAATATATTGTTAAATTAAAGTTGGAGGAAAGACAAGGGTACGATCTCTGGCCCTCTACTTGTCTAAGCACTGGCCCAACTTCTTAATTAATTATTTCAGTTAGCTCTCAAAATCTTCCCCAACTCACTAGACGGTACCAGAATATAAAGTGCAGAGAGAGAGAGAGAGTGAGGGCATCATAATAATAATTATTATTTGCAGTGTTGTTGGAACTAACACCAATCTAGGGTTTGTATATGTAAAATCCAGCTAGGCCCACAATAATGGCCTTCGCATGACCACTTAGCCTCGGATGTAATACTCTCTTGCTGCATTATTAATACTCATATAGAGGAGACCAAAGGCAAAGCACGAGGGCGCATGTTGCAGGTGGATTAAACCCAAAAAGAAGGCGATGGAATTGAAAACCTCCAGAAATGCTTAGCTAGGTTGCTTAGATGTGGGTTATTACTCAGTTTGATCAATATACCTATATTTGGAAATACTCCATTCTTTATAATAAAAGTTAACCATTTGTTTCATAGCGCCGATTTAGGGTTTATTTGCCTTAGCGGATTTTGTTATCCAGTCGTTAAACTTTGATTGCAATCATCTGATTTAAAGGATTTTCAATTTTTTATTTTTGGTTTTTGTATTCGATGCATTTCAGCGAGAGTCCGAATGATATTCTAGTGAAATGCAGTGCCGTACGCAAGTTTATCTTCTTTATTTCGGATATCATGTCGTTGTCACATGGCCACCGATAACATTTCACGGGAGAAATTGGCCATGTACCGATCGAAACACAAGCAAATGAAAAGTAAATTCGAGCAATCTGTTTGACAGTTATAATCAAAATTCAATGACCCGATTACAAAATCTTCTTAAATCCGATGATCATAGGTAAAATTTCATCTCTGTTCCGAGTGCAACGCGCCATGGAAATGCCGTCCCATACATACGTATGTATGACTTACAAGACAAGAGAAACAACTCGTTGGAATAAAAAAAAAAACCGACTGGGGTTGCTGGCCTTGGCTCGATGGGGTCGATGAATTTTTCCAAGATGAGTAAGTTGAATGGAACGGGCATAATTGAGATGAAGGAGAAGAAAAGGAAGTAGTGGTTTGTCTATTCTTGTCCGTAAGTAAAGAGATGGTAGTTGTGGTTTTTTTATTCTCCTATTGGTATTCTCTTTACAATGCACATGAGAGAGAGAGAGAGAGAGAAAGAGAGGGAGGGGCTCTTCTAGAAGGTGGGGGATGGTGTGGGAGGTTGGGTACGAGGCAGAGGATGATGTAAGAAAAGGAGAAGAGAGGAAAAATAGAAAGAGGTTAAGGGAATAGTGTGGTTGTGGTTGTAGTTGTACGTGGGCATTGGTTCACCTTCCACTAGTCCCCTTCCCCTCCCTCCAAACCTTGTGGTTCAAGTTTAGGCAAAAGGGTTGAGTTTTCTTTGGAAGACAAAATGACATAAATAGTCCCTTAACTTTGACTCCATGTGCAATGTGATTTCTAAACTTTTAATTTATTCAATAGAATCCCTAAACTTTTGGTGTATATTCAATTTAGTCCATGAACTATATGAAAATGTTCGATGTAGTATCTAATCTTGAATTAATGGAATAACTACATTGAACATTTTCATATAGTTCAGGGACTACATTAAATATGTATCAAAAGTACAGGGACCACATTGAACAAATTCAAAGTTCATGGATCATTTTGCACATTGGCCCAAAGTTTATGAACCATTTGTGTTATTATCCCGTTTTGGAATGGACAAGGCAAATTACATCTCCTTCAAATTGCTAACCCCACACATCCCCTTCTCTCTCTCCCTCTCGTATCTATAAGACAAAACGCAGCAACTCCCATACACTGTTGAAGAAATTACCATGAAACGGTTGAGAAGAAGCTCCTCATATGCTACCAGCTTATGACGGATGGACAGTTTCCTAATGATGATTCATTATGCCTATGACATTTGCTTCAAAAGGTTCAGTAAGCCTACCTCTTCGAAATCATCAAAGTGGGTAGTGTTGGGAAGCAATTATTCCAAGGGTGAAGATCTTAAAAGCCTTGCTTGGCTTATGATTTTACCTACCGCTCTTTTCTACACCAATCCCTCACTGTCTCCCCAACCCTATCCACGCTTTTTACATGGACCGACCCCACATCGTAATTCCGTCAAATCCTATCCGATTCAATCCAAGTTCGCTCCAAAAGTGCCACGTAAAAGACCTAATCTACATCGCAGGCAACGCCATTGGGGAACTCGTGTAAGAAAGGGGATCGTGATATATGTTTACAACAACAAGCAGTTTTATGATTCCACTAACCACGTTCCCAGAGTGATTTGATGGGCTTGGCCGATAGCCGACCGGAAAGCAATAAATGACCTTGCGAAGGTTCTTAAGTGTTTGTCCCTAGGATTCACTGCCTCTCTCATCATCTCACCAAGTTGTCCCTACTACTCTTGAAATTGTTACGTGAATGTCATCTGCACAAAAAAAAAAATTTTCAGTCAAATTCACCGATGCAACTAAAAACTCCTATGGTACTACGTTCAGGTCTCATGGCAACGAGTTATGTTGGGTCTCACTGGCCGGTCAGAAAAAAAAAAATAAAAAAGAACCCAACCGGGGGTGCCGCAGACGTCAGATTCGACCGCATGGATCAGATTATCAATTCACACCGTAGAAATTAGTCCCAACCATTTTCAATTGCTTGAACGTAGTATCAACCCATTTAAGGATTCAATATTCTCAAAACCAACAGCCCCATTTAAGGATTCATGGCGCTTGCCGAAGATTTTGGCAAGAAAAAACATGTGAACAAAACTGACAAGGTGATGTCCAGCTCACAAACACGTGGTGACGGGGGCGATCATGTGCTTAGGTGCAAAACGAATTTCTTAACGTGCGAGACAAACAACTGAGGCTCCTCGAACTAATGGCAACATTACTGATAACACTGTCCTAAAAGGCCTTCTACCTACCTTCTTTTGTGGGGGGATTGGGTTTGATTTGTTGCCACTCACGTATAGTCCCATGAGGTGCGGTAGTCCTAGAACCTAAAAAGCAAATGCCTTTTAGCTGCGGGTCTGTTTTCAAGGACCCACGATAACATGGGTTGGGGAATTTAGGGAATGACAGGAAGGAGATGGTTTGGAGGTTTCATTGCCATAAGAGAATGGTTTTGGCGGATTTCAGGTTTATCCAACTTTGGGTCTTTTGCCAAACTCGGCGTCTTTCGCGTCGCCATTTACGCGTACCGCCCACCCCTGCAATGTTCGGCCGACCTGTATAGAGAAGGTGGCTGCCGATGGCTTAACATCTAGTCCAACAAAATGGAGGACATACTCGTTCAGGACAATTGAGTATGTGAATTCCTCAAGTTTGGTACTCACGTGAGAATCATGCGATGAGAGTTTTGACGATCTAAAACTTCCCTGTGAAACAGAAGTTCGGCGGTTCGACTCTGGAAATGAGAAACAAGAGTCGCCCTTTCACAATCCATTTCAGTGAAGGTGGGAATGGAAAAGGCTGGGGGCTCTGCGAAAAAAATTGAAAACCAATCCACAGGCTCATAACAGTGATCTCAAACTCTTGAGCATGACATGTTAACAACTACCATGTGGTAAGTAGCAGCCGCAGGTCAAATTCTGCCAAAACACATGTACACAATAGCTCGGCACCTGAAGTCATCGATCCTGATCTAGAACAAAGCTTTCCAAATACTAGCAAAACAATTTTTCTAGGTTGTAGGAATAGCACGAGCGAAAGGAAACCGGTCTGCCTACAAGCAATCTGTATGCAAGCACCACATAAATAAATTATACCATGGCTTATATGGATACGTACTCCCAACTCAAAGCAGCATGTTTGTTCACTAACCAACCCGAAAGAGGTGATATCGCGATACAAAAGACGTGCTGAAAATGGGGTTAGATTTTACTTGTGACTTTCTGCTAGTTCCCGCTGGTTTGTTCTGCCCAAGCATTGGCAATCCCTGACTACTATTGTGGACTATATAATATATGGAGTGTGCTGCTCTAAACTATACGTACTAAGGCAAAGGGAAAGTGGTGCTCTCTACTTCCAACCTCGAATCTCAGGGGTCAGCCCACCACTTCCTTAAGCACTGTCGCTGCAACGGCGGCAGTAAGCAGGGTACCGATACCGAACACCGTGGCGTCGTGTCTTGCCTTGGCGCATCTGGATACGCAGTCTGACTTCGCTGCATTGATCTTCATGTCTACGGCACGATGAAGTTTCAGGATCTCGTCTCCCAACTCAGCAGCAAGGCGTTTCACATTCTCATATTGCAAGTTCGAAATACGAACTCGCTGCATCCAAATGTTCCCAAGAGTAAAGCCATGCTAAACTAATCTCCCCCTAAATCAAAGCTCGCATGGGGAAATTTTGGAAAAAAAAAAAGAAGAGACCAGGCGAGTTTTCAATTCGTCTTCAATGATAAGACGAAACAAAGAGGTGCTGGGTGCTGCTAGCTGCTAATTGCTAAACATACATGGCACAGAATGAAGCAAAGGGTGCACAGCTTGCGCTCAGTCTGCTCGCCTAAAGAACAACAAAAAAGAGAGAGAGAGAGAAAAAACCAAGCAAACGCATTTGTCAGTTGAGAGGGGGAAGCGGCGAAAGTTACCGGGTCGGAAGTGTCGATGGGACCCGCGGGCGACCCGTGATGCGGCGGCGGCGGCCACGTCGCGAGGGGCCGGAGGAACCTCGTCTCCGGCTTGTTCCCCCGTCGAATCAGACGGGTCAGTGCGGCGGCCGCCATCATGCACGAGCTGAAAGGAGGATTCGAAGAAGACGAAGGAAGGGAAAAGGCCCCTCTGTAACCCCCGGAGAAACCCTAGCGCGCGATGAAGGAAGGAAGGAAAGGCTTCCTCTGTTAGCCGGAGACTGGTTTTTCGACGGTGGTGATTGACGTACGGTAAAAAAAAGAAGTAAAAAAATAACCGGATGTGTCGAAACCAGATAATTCGGTTCGTTCTCCTTTCATGTTAATATCTCTTCAATTTTTTTTATCGAAAAAGCAACGCATTTCATTAGAAACTAGAGCAAAGTTTGTGTAACATTCGAGCATAATAAATCTAAAAGAGCCTTGGGGGTTTCGCAAGCCAACTACAAAGAAGAGCCTTCTCGCGGTGGACCTTCACGATCCAGTCCATAATTTGATTTGCGTCTCTGCCACGATTTGCTCGCGGGATTATTTGTTTTTGAGAAGCAGGAGCAAATGTCCAATGCGAAAACAAATGGCATTCTTCAATTCCTAATATCAACTTTGACACCAAGTAAAAGATATTGTTCAGCACGCCGTGGGTTATGATGGAGTTATTGTGAATTCTCGGGTTTATTATGAAATTAGTCCTTTCGAGCGAAATGTACTATGTACGATGAAGGGATAATTTCAAATCCGAGCTCGGATGATGGGACTTGCTAATTATAACCAAGGAAGAACCGGCGGCGAGAATTTGACCGAGCAGCAAATAAATGTGCGAACGCATTGAAAAGAGATCAAATCTGCCCAACAAAGATTTCAAAAGATGTGCTGAAAATGGGGACAGAATTTTCCTTGTGACTTTCTAGGAGTCCGCTGGCTTTGTTCTGTCCAAGCACAGGCAATGCATTTGACTAATGACTATTATTGTGGATTAAAATATTGCAAATATTTTTATCCCCCCCCCCCCTTCCTTACTAAAGTTATTCATCATATTAATACTCGATTACGACGACGACATTGGCCAACTTCCTCTACCATCACGACTCCTTTTCAATCACACTTTCCTAAATCTCCAAATCTCAATCTCACCTTTCCCTTCAAAGAAGATCGTGGACGAGACATCATTGACAAACGCATGTTGCCCATAAGGACGTTTAAATTCCATTTTTAGGGCCAATTTGATTACAGGTGATTCCAAAGAATAATTACTTCTCTAGCATCATTCACCGTGGACTTGTCACGGCCGTGTGTACAAAGACGTTTGCATAGAAGGCGAGGCGTTTTGCGATGTTCAAGAACAATGTCGAATTCATATTGAATCTTTCAATGAAGCCAATGCCAAGCCTTACAAACTAGGCATCAATGGCTTCGCGGATATGACCAACGAGGAGTTCATGGCCTCGCGAAATGGATACGAGAAGTCATCCTCCTCAAGGTCATCTGGTGCTAAAGTCCTTTAGGTATAAGAACGTGACTGCAATACCGTCTTACAATGGATTGGAGAAAGAAAGGAGCCGTCGCTCCCATCAAGGACCAAGGAAGATGCGGTATGGCCATAAACTTTCACGCTCGAAATCTGGCCAATTTAACAAATGCCTGAATTGGTCCTTTCGATAATCTTTCCTTGACATTCAGGCTGTTGTAGGGCGTTTTCCGCTGTGGCGGCTACAGAAGGGATCAACCAGCTCACGACGGGAAAACTCATCTCTTTCTCGGAGCAAGAACTAGTGTATCGTGACACGATCGGCGAAGATTAGGGTTGCGAAAGTGGCCTCGTAGATGATGCCTTTTGAGGTCATCATCAATGACTGCGGTCTCACGACCGAAGCAAATTATCCGTACGAATCAGTCGACTGTACTTGCAATGCGGGAAAAGAGGCATCTCCTGCTGCCAAGATTCCCGGCTAGGAAGACATGCCTGCTAATAGTGAGTCGGCTCTTTGGCAGGCCGTAGCTATGAATGTAATTCTTTAATGTATTTATAAAAAAGATGGAAAAGGAAGAAAATAAAAAATAAGAAATAAAGAAAAAAAAGAGTCAATGACATATAAAAGCAGTTCGACTCAAAGCAAAGGCAATTGTCGGAAGCACAAAAAAAAATCAGAACAAAATTCCCCTTGAGAGGACCGAATTGGCCAGAAGAACTACATTGGAATGTCGCACTCAGGACTAAAATTGATAAAATTGAAAAATTTAGAATTATATTGACATCCATACAATAGATTTGGACTGATTGGTTAATTGTCCAAGTTATCGTAACATTTTTCAATTATTTCTCGAACATAAAGTTCATCAAGGTCTCAAGTACCAAGTCTCAACAGCCGACGTAGAAGTTAAGAGGTCAAAAAGCCTGGACGGACATTCTACCTTGAAAAAAGTTCATTCCTATCGAATGATAGTCACAAAGGCAAAAGAAATTTTGAATATCAGAGACCCAAGAACGTTCATTCCGTAGCTCTTAATTCAGACATCTAACGTTAGAGAAACAGATAAGTAATCTTTAGTCTAACTCACGCACCCGCGAAGGATCTCCTTTCCATTTCAATACCTTGTTCTTGATCAGTGATCGCACACAACTTGAAGGCATATCTATCTCAAGGACCTTTCTACTAAAAACGACGTTTGAGAGCTTGCGCGTACAATTTACTAAATATGCATCCTTAAGTTAGAGTCCTAAGTCCAAGATAAAACATTTTCCAAGAAGCAAATAAAATTGTTCCGATTTTCAACGGTAATCAAAATTGTTCCGATATTCAAATTGCGACATCTCCTGTATCACGCCTCGACTTTCAAATTCGTTTCAGCTAGAACTTCTTTCACATGAGCATTTGATTCGAACTCTTCAACATGCCTGATATCATTTCCCCCATCATTTGTATGCCTTCACTTTTCTACAATTTTCTGCGCCATTCTTATGCAAGCGCTCGTTTGCATCATTCGTACACTTGACCTCTCAACATCTCTTCTCCACATGCACAATCGACTTGCATACGCATGATCACTGCACTTTGTCTGCAATATGTAACTTCTAGGTATAAATCTTGCATGTGCATCTCTTAGTACCGTCTGCATTTCAAACAGTGTTTTTCAAATATTTAGAAACTTCTCTCATTCCTTCAAAGAATTTTCAAACGAGACATTTTCGAAAGTCGCAATTCAAAGTCGTCGCAGAAATAGATGTCGAAAATCCCATGGCCGAGGCAGGCTTATCAAGACGAACTCAGGCTATTCACACAGGTAAGATTGCCATCACAAGTATGTTCAATTTTTTTAAACTATCAGTCAGTCATTTGGCTCTCTCAGTATTCTAGCAACCTCCTTCATAAGTATTTAAACCCGATCATCTCGATCAAAATTGAATCTTGACTTCATCTCATTCAATAGATCTTGAGTCTAGTTTTGGGTCATAGATTTCAATGCGAAAGGTCTATAACTGATTGCAAACAAGTTTCGCCTGTAGGGCTCATCCAACCCAGTCGTTGGTCAATTCACTGGTGCTGATCTTAACCCCCTTATGTAGCAAGAAATGGACACCCTAAGGCTGCAAAATGAAAATACTGTATTGGCTCCACAATAGTTTCAGGGCATTCAAGTATAAGCAATTACCGCAGTTCGCAAGCACAGGCACATCTCCAAAGGTATTGCATTCCACTGACCCGTGAATGAGCAACAACCTCAGCATCAAGGAAATGTTAGGTGTGTTAGCTTTCCTCCTCCAAAGTAGGATATGATTTTAGGTCCAATGCATGTGCGTCCATGCCCGAGACATCAAAATATGCTAGCAGATGGCATGTGCAGACCAGAATAATAGATATTCATTTAGCCAAAACAGCAAGAAACTGGACAAAAAGGCTACCCATTCTCATCCTCTCAGCAAAAATCCTTCCCTGAACATTCCAGTTACACAAATTGCGTTATGACAAGCCAAATTGCAATATCAACAACAAAAAGCTTCTCCCTGAGATCCAAAATTGTCATGCTGCCAACCACATTGCAATGATCTAAAAAATAGGTGAAAGTTGCCGAAATGTTCAGTCCTCTTCAATAACTTAAACCCGACAATCCTGTGTAGAGCTTGTGAATTGATTGATCTTCAAGTGAAGAAAAAGCGGGTCGGCACACAAAGCTCAGCTTTTATCTACAGTAGCTGATTGGAGAAGATTACAAATCGAGGTTTTCTGTTCTCTGGTTAAAGAAGAAAACCATTCTCTGATAGCACAGGCAGAGGCAGACTGACTCACACTCGTGTTACCCCGCACGATATTCTCAAAATCTAGCGGCACAAGCCGAAGCAGAGCAGTTGCTATAGCAGTCTGAGTAGAGAAGCCCATGTTCAAGGTGGTGGCCTGTCCGAGAAAGCTATACAAAGAACACCTCAAACTTTGGACTCCAACATCATCAAAGCCACCGGCTTTAACTCCAAGCCTGAAATTAGAACAAGACATAGTGCATATAAACCAAAGCACGTATAAGACCAACAAGGGAAAAGCTATAGCCAATTTGCCACAAATTAACATAAACCGGAGTACCGTTTCATTTATTATTTTTCTGTTCAAGTCACAACCTTCACTTAGTTTTGCAATTATTCATTCCCAATGTCCATGAGACCAGCGCAGCCTGCTATCCAGCTCTCGCACACTTAACATCATATGACTATATATCAGCTATGACCAAATCTCTTAATTATATCACTACTATCTACGTCTAACAATTGACACACTGATAAGCCAGCAAGTCAAATGTCCATCCCATTGTTTCACAATTTCTCACTCTTTTAAGTAAGGAGGTTTATCCCCGACCAAAAAAAATAAATAAATAAGGAGCTTTATCATGCATCAACACTAAATAATTTAAGGTAATCAAAGTTCTCCATTGTCAATAAATTAACCCAAAAGTCCATTATGTCTCAAAATCGAGCTGAGTTGTTTTCTGCGAATATTTGTTTAGGAACCATGTGGAGGGCTGGTCAAACGCATTAAGCACTAAAGATGAAGAAAAACTAGGATTTAATCAAATTGTAAAATCAGATTAATATTTTTAAAATACTTTCACTCCAGTGGCCACTGCATAGTCACCATTGTCAGCAAATTCACAGAAAGAGATAGGTAATATTACTGTCTGGTTTTCTGTAACTAAGTTCTAAAGATGTTTTCA